TGCCGGTATTGTTGGGACCCTTAGTGGTCGTTTCTTGATATCATCTCTCTGTTTTCATTGATATTCCATACTCAGTCATGTTCATGCATTCTTATATTATATCTCAATCTCTGTTATTCTATTTGATGCATCATGTCATTGCTGTTTAGGCTGATTATTTTGATTTTCTGAGAGCCCGAGAGACTGGAGAGATTGATGACTGAGTGAGGCCGAGAGGCTGATTGTGAGGACATTTATGGTATCGGGTTTCACGTCACAACATGTTTCATTGATTCTACCATGATTGGCGTTGATGTAGCATTTGGGCTGAAGGAGCCCATCCGGAGTCTGTACACACCCCCAGTGAGTGCAGGTACCTACTGAGTGCGAGTACCGAGTGCTGAGCGATTGTGAGGAATGAGCTACTGTGAGGTTGGAGTGATTGGGAGGACTGAGTGATGATTTCCCGAGGGGCAGTATATGATTTCAACATTGTTGCACATTGTTGCCTTATGTCCATGTTTTTTAGAACTGTTGAAAGATATTTTATTTGACTTCACTTGAACTTGACTTAAACCAACTGATTTGACTTAAACTCTAGATTGAAAGCATGACTACACTTTACTGAATTTTATGAAATGAATTGTATTTGAATAACCCTTCACTACTTCTCAGTTCCCTATTTATTTCTGTTACTTACTGAGTTGGTGTACTCACGTTACTCCCTGCACTTCGTATGCAGATCCAGGAGTAGTTGATCGTGGAGGGTGTTGATAGTCCTCGTAGTAAATTTTGGAGATAGCGAGGCAGCTGTCCGGCATTCGCAGCCTTGCTTTCTTCTCCCCTATCTTTCCTTTAGTTGTATTTTGGATTCCAAACTATGTTTGTCTTGTTATTGTCAGATCAGCTTTGTTAGATGCTCATGACTTAGTGACACCCCGATGTTTGGGGCTTTCTTTCCATTTTTCTATATTAAGTTCAACTCTTGTTTTTTTTATGAAAATTCTGTTATAAAAAAGCTTTTTAGCGTATTTTTAAATGAATTATTGAAGTATTGTGAAATATGGCTGGACTAGTATCATCGATAGGCGCCATCACGACAGGTTTAAGTTTAGGGTCGTGACATTTGACCTCTCTAATATTACCCACTTTTTCTTAATTAGTATTAGCAATTTCATTTTTAGGAAAATCTTTACAAAAACGGTATTCCTATACCCTAGGTTAATGTAGCTCACGTCAAATAAATCCGTAATTGACATTTATGTAGAAAAGTTAACCTTGCAGGCTGCAGCCGGAGCAAATTAAGAGACATTATGCAGTATTTATTACTACCTTTTCAAAAAATTCAAAACACATAAAATATTTTTGTTTATTTGATATTATTTTAACGTAAATGTTTCAATACTATCTTAACATAAATTTAATTATGTAATTTATCCAAAATGCATTCGAGTTTTAATTAAGTATTATTTCGATTCCTTTAGGATAAATAGTATTAAGGTTCATTTTTCAAAGAAAATAAATAAGGAAAGTTAACATGAAAAACTCCTAAATATTAGGATTGGGTAAAAGTACCATGAAATATATTATGGTTACGCTAGATAGATCAAATAAGAAATGAATCTATATAAATTAAAATTTTGATTGATTTTATGCCTTAAATATTGTAAGATCTTTTACTTAGTTCAAGTAAGAAAATATTTTATAACCTAAATTTTAGTTGATTCAAAATACTAAATATTAGAAACATACTTTAATTTACAATTTTCTCCAACATGAAATATGTTTTTAAGGAATAAAAAAGGCAAACGACATTTTGCTAAGGACATTCGTGCTTTTAATATAGCTAGTCTCAGGGTACGTGTGTTGCGCGTGTACCCTATATTAATCAATATAAATTTCTTGAAATTACATTGTTAGATAGTACTATATTAAAATGGATTTAAGTTATAAAGTAAAGTTTTAAAAAAATAAAGTTTCTAAAATTGATGAATATTAAAACGACAAAAGTCCTCGAATTAGAAGCAACAAAGCCGATCCATCATGTTTATATCATAATTTATCGTTGGTACATCACCTTGTGCATGCATTCTTTCATCTCATTCGTACCATAAATCCTCATCAAAATATACAAAATTCAAGGTATTTATTCTGTGCAAATTCAATCACACACACAAAAAAAAACATAAAAGAAAAATTACGTAGTAAAATATATTGGTATGACAAAATATTTTCTTGGAGCCATTACCTGAAAACAAACTCCAAAAAAAATATCTTTCTAGAATAGTCATTAGAAAAGAGAGATAAAACTGTAACTTTTGAATCTTATATTCTTATACAATAAAATGTTATGTTCTATTTGAGTTGTAATTATTTAATTATGAAATAACTCTACTTTAAATAATTTCGTATAAACATTTATATTTTCATGGACTAATCTCCGACAATGGATGTTAGTATTCCGTGAATCACCGAGAATTCTTATGAGACTAAGTTGGTGTCGGCATGGTCTAATCTTTCAACGGACTAATTAATATTCTTAGTCGTATTTTTTTTTTTTGGTTTGTAACATCCTTTCTTCAATATGAAATATATTTTTTAAGCTTTTTGTAATAAGAAAAGAATTTATATTAGGTAGAATGTTAGTATTTATTTATGACTTCCTACATAATCTTAATAAGGAAAGGCTTACCAACTAAAATTTTAGTTAATTTTAAATTTCTAAATATTAGGAATGCAACTTTTAAATAATTTTATATGTTATCCCATTTCAATTATTACAAATTTTTATCTTTACAACTTATAAATTCTTTATTGTCAATTTTTTTCTTTAAAATACAAATTTGCTTAAGTATAAAAAAGAAAATCAAAAAGTTCAAAAGTTTTACTTATTGGGACACATTATTCCTTCAAATCTGATTGCATTGTCATGATCAAAGAACCTGTAATAAATAAAAAAAAGCTACAAATAATATCTAATCTTAATACGCAATTTTTTTTATAGTCTTTAAAAAAAATTCTTCAGCAGTCCACATAGATTTTGATTAATACTCCTTAAAAAAAATATTGATGGAGAATGTAGAATAATAACTTTATAGAAGTGCTTGGCTTCCCTTTTCTCTAGATGATTATTATTGCAAATAAGTTCTGAAAGAATGAAGATACAGAAATTTTCTCTGTGTATTTCATTAATCAACTTTACATGTATTTATACAAATAAAAGAAATAAAATCTGTTAAGATATTGTACAGGTGTCTTATTCTTATTTGTCTATTTCTAACTAACTATCCAAATGTGTTAGAATATAAAAATAGAAATTTGTATTTGTCATGTGCCTATATTTACAAAGAATACTCTAGAATGGGTATCCTAAGTAGTCAGCTGTAATAATCAATGGTGTTGATTAAATGAATCCTTATGAGATGAACGGTTGAGATGAAACATCTTGTTTCCTATTTAAACTGTTGAGATCTGCTGATGAGTGTGAGAATAAAGGACTTTGGTTATTCCGACCAAAGTCACTTTCATTTGGTCCAAGACCTAATTCCTCTTTTCTTTCATTCTCTCTCTTGTTCTTGTTTGCATCGACTGAAAACTCATGGGGTTTCTTCTTCTCATCAACCCCCCTCAAGTTGGAGGGGAGGGAAAGGACCCCCAACTTGCCCAAAATGGTTATGTGATAAACCCCAGAAAGAGGTTTGGTGAAGAGATTGGCCAGTTGGTGCTCCGATGGAACAAATGAGATGTTGATTAAGCCGGAGATAAATTGTTGCCTGACAAAATGGCAATCAAGCTCGACGTGCTTGGTACGCTCATGGAAAACGGGGTTACAGGCGATGCGAATCGCTGCCTGACTATCGGAGTGAATAGGGATCGACAAAGTCGGAGCTACAGAGAGATCAGAGAGAAGTCGTACCAACCAAGTGACTTCAGCAGTGACACGCCTCATGGAGCGGTATTCAGCTTCAGCAGAGGAGAGGGAAATGGAAATCTGCTTGTTGGATTTCCATGAAATTGGAGCTCCACCAAGGGTGATGAAAAAGCCACTTACAGAGCGGCGAGAATCTCGACATGCTGCCCAGTCTGCATCACAAAAAGCGAGTAAATCAAAGGAGGGATCTGCAGTGAGAAAGATCCTTTGAGAAGGATCAGAGCACAAATAGTGGAGAACACGCAAAGCTACAGAGTAATGAGAAATGCAAGGGCGTTGCATGTACTGGCTCAAGCAAAGAACAACAAAACAAAGGTCTGGCCTGGTATTTGTTAAATAGTTGAGCTTCCCAACAAAGTGGCGATAAATAGTAGGATCAGACAAAGGCTCTCCTACATCAGCTTGCAATTTGGAGCAAGGATCGAGAGGGAAGAAACATCAGGACCTGTGCAATCAAATTCTACCAAGAGATCCAAGGTAAATTGCCTTTTCCCTATGATGAAACCCTATTTTTCTCTGAGAATTTCCATACCCAAAAAATGATGAATGTCTCCAAGATGCTTTACTTTGAATTCTGTGTGTTAGAAAAGCTGTAATATGTGCAATTTCTGTGGTGTCATTTCCTGTGAGTAGTATGTCGTCCACATAGACAACCAAGATAGAAAATAGGGGACCTGATTGCTTGTAGAATAAAGAATAATCATTGAGAGAGCTGGAGTAACCTTTGTAGTTCAGAGCCCCAACTAGCCTAGCATACCATTGCCTTGACGCTTGCTTTAGGCCATAGAGTGATTTCCTTAAGCGACAAACATGATGAGATTGAGGAGGAGTCAAACCTGTTGGGAATTTCATATAGACTTCTTCTTGCAAATCCCCATGCAAAAAGGCATTATTGACATCTAACTGTGAGACATGCCACCCCTTTTTGATAGCCACAGCCAAAAGACACTTGATGGTAGTCATTTTTACCAAATGTGAAAATGTTTCTGAATAATCGATCCCTTCTCTCTGAATGTCCCCCCTCACCACTAAACGAGCTTTGAGCCTTTCAATAGTACCATCTGAGTTGTGCTTCACCTTGTACACCCATTTACAGGATAAAGCTTTCTTCCCTGATATCCCAAGTGTGATTTAGTTCAAGTGCTGAAATTTCAGCATCCATGGCCTTCTTCCACCCAGGATGAGTGGAAACCTGTAGATAACTTCTAGGTTCTGATATGGAAGAGATGGAGGTAAGTAGATGCTGATTCTTCATAGAAAGGGCATTAAAGGAGAAGGAAGTTGGCTTGAGAGGTTTAGATAGACAGGAACTAAGGTCAGACAGGTAAATGATGTTGCAAATGTAGTCATTTAAGTAGGCTGGTTTTTGAGTCACTCTGTCATATTTTCTGACTGGTGGAGGAGGAATTGGAATAGGTGTGCTGGTAGGGGAGTGAGACAGTGATCTGGACAGAATGGGTGAGTAAGAAGGATTGGATTCTGAAGAGGTGAGGGTGATATTGGATGGAGTAGAAGGAGCAGGAACCTGAGAAGAACTGCTAGGTGAGGAGAGGATAAATTGAGGTGAATGCAATGTGGGAGATGATGAGGAGGGTGTCCTAGGAGTATGTTTTGTTGAGGTATGAGGTGAGGCATCTGAAGGAGTTTTACCTAATGGAAAGAAAGAAAAAACAGGTGAGGAAGGTGAGTGAGTAAAAGGAAATAGATGTTCATGGAACTTGACATCTCTAGAAATAAACACCCTTTTAGTGTCAAGGTCTAGTATTTTGTAACTTTTTTGATTCTGAGCATAGCATAGGAATATACAACCCTTTGCCCTAGGTTCAAACTTTCCCCTGTTGTGAGATAAAGTTGACACATAGCATAAACAACCAAAACTTTTGAGGGAATCATAGCTGGGCTGTTTACCAAGCAACTTCTCATAGGGTGTTAAACCATGCAGAACCTTAGAGGGGATTCTGTTGATTAGATATGTAGCTGTCAGAACACACTCTCCCCAGTACTGGAGAGGCACCTTAGAATGAAATAAGAGAGATCTTGCTACTTCCAAAAGGTGTCTATGCTTCCTCTCAACCACTCCATTCTGTTGAGGGGTAGCAACACAAGAAGTTTCATGTAAAATCCCTTGAGATTCAAGAAAAATTGCCTCTAGTGATCCTTTTCCTAGTTCCATGGCATTGTCAGATCTGATCTTCTTGACTTTCAAGTTAAACTGTCTATCTACCATGGATAGAAATGACTTCAAGACTGAAAAAGCATTTCCTTTAGAACTTAAAAGAAAAGTCCAAGTTGCCCTACTATAGTCATCCACAATAGTTAAGAAATATGTGTAGCCATTGTAAGTTACAGTCTTGAAGGGCCTCCAAGTGTCAATATGAATTAAATCAAAGATAGCAAAACTCTTAATATGACTTAAAGGAAAAGGCAGTCTGGTCTGCTCGAGCCTGACATACCATTGTTTTACATTAGATGTAACAATAGTAACTAAAGATACTGGAAAAGAAATAGAAGTAGAAATAACACTGAAATTTCTTCCTTTTTGAATGGAAACTACATCTTTTCTAAATGAAGAAACATACTCTATTCTAGGTGGCTGGAACAGGTACAATCCATCTCTAACTTCACCAAAAACTTGTCCCCTCCTCATTAAAGGGACCTGCAATAGACATCCACTAGAAGTTAGATTTAAGGAGCAACTGAATTAAAGACATAACTTATGAACAAATAGTAAGTTATATTTGAAAGAAGGGACATGAAGTACCCTATCAAGAATCATATCAGGCTGAATAGACACATTACCTATGTGTGTAACGCATAACTGAAATGAATTAGTTAAACTAATATGCAAAGGTGCAGGTAGAGGGGTAAGAGTTAAGAAAGAACTAGTATCAAAACACATGTGTTCAGAGACCCCCGAGTCAATAATCCAAGTTTTAGTGTTAAAAATAGCAAGACAAGTTCCTGTGTATTTGAGTATGGTACCAGCTACAACATTAGCATTGATTTCTGATATTGTGGTCCCTACACTCCCAATCTGCACTTGCTTGATTATGTTTACCAATTCTGACACTTGCACCTTACTAAAGAATTGGTTTTGATTGCTCATGGTTGCTTCACTGCAAGTGTTGGACTTCTCTTCATTGTCCTGCCTTGCCACCACTGCATTTCCCTTTATTGTAGGCTGATAATTAGTTGATTTTGTGAATTGAAAATCATCAGAAAACCCTATTAGTCTGTAGCAATCTGCTCTCACATGACCTGTTCTCATATAATGACTACAACTCATGTTTGGATTGTACTTTGTTTTCTTTCTGATTTTTTGTTGTATGTTCTGATTGTTCCCCTGTTTCTGAGAGGTTCCCTAGGATTTCTGAATGTTATTCCTTTGATTGAACTTCCCTTGAGATCCTACCATGAAGGATGCACCATCTGATGGATATTGTGGGCTAACATATATTTCCCTCTGACTTTCATCTTGCAGAAGGAAAGAATAGGCATGGTCCATGTTTGGAAGTGGGCTCATCATGAGGATGTTTCCTCTTGTATGTGCATACACATCATTCAAGCCCATCAAGAATTGTATGACTCTCTGATCCTCTAGGAACTTGGCCACCTTTTTTTTCCCTTCACACACACAAGTACATGTGCAACCTAGATGTGAGTTCAGGGAATCTAACTCATCCCATAACCTTTTTAGAGTTGTAAAATATCCTACAATACTGCCATTTCCCTAAACTGTTTTAGCAATTTTCTTTTGTAGGTGATAGAGTTTGTCTCCATTGGATTGTCCAAACCTATGCTCAAGACTGTTCCAGAGTTCCTTTGCAGATTTGGAATAAATCACATTGTCTTCTATCTCTTTAGTTAGAGAGTTTAAGAGCCACGAGGTGACCATGTCATTGTATCTACTCCACTGTGCATGATCCTTTGAATCCAGGGCAGGTTCATCACAAACCCCATTGATGAACACCAGCTTGTTTTTGGCTGATAATGCAATTAGGATCGATCTTCTCCACCCTGAGAATCCTCTTCCATCAAAGGGTGAGGTGACAAGAGTCATTCCAGGTGCATCTGAAGAGTGAAGAAAGTAGGGGTGGTTGACATCATGATTGACAGCTTGACTAGTTAAACCAGAAAGAGAAAGAGTGGGAGCAGAATCTGTTCCAGTCGTGATGATAGATGAAGTTGAGAAAGAAGGAGGAAGTTTAGACGAAAAGGTTGAAGGATCGAGCAGAAATCTGCTCTGATACCATGAAAGAATGAAGATGCAGAAATTTTCTTTGTGTATGTCATTAATCAACTTTACATGTATTTATACAAATAAAAGAAATAAAATCTGTTAAGGTACTGTACAGGTGTCCTATTCTTATTTGTCTATTTCTAACTAACTATCCAAATGTGTTAGAATATAAAAATAGAAATCTGTATTTGTCATGTGCCTATATTTACAAAGAATACTCTAGAATGAGTATCCTAAGTAATCAGCTGTAATAATCAATGGTGTTGATTAAATAAATTCTTATGAGATGAACAATTGAGATGAAACATCTTACTTCCTATTTGAACGACTGAGATCTGCTGATGAGTGTGAGAATAAAGGACTTTGGTTATTCCGACCAAAGTCACTTTCATTTGGTCCAAGACCTAATTCCTCTTCTCTTTCATTTTCTCTCTTGTTCTTGTTTGCATGACTGAAAACTCATGGGGTTTCTTCTTCTCATCAAGTTCAAATCTCATTAAATTGTAAACCCAAACGGAATCTCTGTTTACGTCGGTAGAATATTTTACGGTTTGACACATTAATTGCAAAACAACTATTTGGGATCTTATGTCGAAAGCAATAAATTAGAATAATTCAAGTTTCCATGCTTAAACACACATAATAATTAACATAAGGTAAGTTTTTTTAATTTCACGTTCTATGCCTTTTTTAGTTTTTAAATTTTTTTAGTTGGTTTTAAAGGTCTAAATAATACAAATAAGGAAATATTTAATAAACTAAATTTTATTGATTTCAAAGTCTTAAATATTAGGAAAATTATTAAATGACAATGTTGTCCGTTGTAAAATTTAGTTTTAAGGGGTATAAAAGGCGAACAGCATTTTGCTAAGGGCATTCGTGCTTTTAATATATATATNTTTGTCTAAACAGGAAAATATATAAAGTATTACGATTGTTTTTTTTCTTCTTTTTAATTGGCTTTTTCTCGACAATCTCTAGTTAGTTATTATTCATAACTTGGCTCAAATTGCACGTTTTGTTCCAATATTAATAAACATGAAAAGAATGCTCATAACTAATCTACTTAACGTCTTTCAAAATTATCAGGACAAGAAACTAAGATAAGACTTGACGATTAAAGAATCTTCGAATTTTCAGATTTATTAACAGTAAGAGGATTAGATTATGTCCAAATGGTTTTGGATTTTATCTTATCATGTTTCTTTTCCTTTAAATTTTGTAAAAATTTCACGGGGCGTCCTATTTGGTCGCCCCCATTTAACCTATACTCATTTTTTTAAAATATTTTAGTTTGTACCCACTTTTTAAATAACTTCAGCCCCCTTTCTCCTCCTTCGTTTTTTTTTTCTTCTTCTTTCTTCTGCTGCTGTTGGTGCTGCTATGAAACTTCAGTTCTTGGGATGATTGCCATAAATATGTTTATCAGATTATTTTTAAAAAATTATTACAAAATTAGTAGACAATAATTTGTGAATATTTCCACGTACGTAAGTTAGTAGACAATGATAATTCTGTTCTTTTCACGTTTATTGTTCCAAAATTTATGATTTAGATACTATTGGCAACCTGATTATTTATCTAGTATGTTAGAAAGCTTTTTCAAAAACTTCAGCTTATAGCTGAAGTTTTTACAAATGAACTAAATTACTTCAGCATCTTCTGCTGAAGTTTTTGAAAAAGCTTTATGACAAAACTAATGAATCGAGGACAAAAAAACTTCAGCTTTTAGTGCTCTGTTGAAGTTTTTGAAAAAGCTTATCCAGGACAAAAAAAACTTCAGCTTATTTAGTGCTGAAGTTTTTATAAATGAATTAAATAACTTCAACATTTTCTGCTGAAATTTTTGAAAAAGCTTAATGACAAAACTATTGAATCCAGGACAAAAAAAACTTCAGCTTATTTAGTGCAATTACAAACAAAAACTTCAACAAATAGAGAACAAAACTTCAGCTACTATGCTTAAGTTCAGCAATTACAAACAAAAACTTCAGCACACTTGCTACTTCAGGCCCGTCTACTAAAATGCTGAAGTTTTGCGTGATTGCCTTTGCTACTTCAGCCCCGTATGTTGAAGTTACGCGAAAAAGTGGGTACACTTGTAATTTTTTTTTTTTTTGCAAAGCGGGCACAAGTTAAAACGTGACCCAAAAGGCGGGTATAGATGCAAATGCCCCTTAAATTTTTAGGGAAATTTTCATAAAGCACTATCTTTTAGTAGTAATTAGCCATCTATAGATACCATTTGCTATATTACGGATTATAGATACCTTTTATGTCGTTATAAGATGTATTTGATGTATTTAAGCTATTGTATTCATGAATACAATAGCAAAAATAGGCGTGAATTAGGGAAGTCCAGCTAATCGGTTGTTGTATTCGAGTGTATTCGACTGTATTCATGGAGTGAAGCATGGGATTACAGCTGGACAAATTATTGTATTCGACTATATTCACAGCGTGAAATAGGGGATTACACTGTTATTAAAACAGAAAGTGAATCAATTAACATAATAGACTCCTAATATAACTCAACAAACTCAATTATAACACACAAATTTTGTATTTTCAGTTATAAAAAAGATTCTCAACCAAAAATACCCCAAAAATATAGCAATCTTCAGAGAAATTATTTAATACATCTGAATAAATAAATTATATCAATTAAAAAAACTTATGAATACATTCATGGCATATAGCGAGACAGTGAATACAATGAAATACATAGAATACAGCGAGATACATTGAAATACAATGAAAAAAAAGACATGAATACAATGAAATACATGAAAATACATTGAAATATATTAACAGAAAATCAAGTTGCTCAGCCGCAACCTCCATCGTCTTTGTTCAAGAACAAACCAACCGAATTATATGTCGGCGACTGCTGTCTTTGCATTCTTTAAGTTGCCAATGCTATTTAGTATAAAAAAATTATCAGGTCTACCATTCTCAGAACAACGAAAGCCTTCATCCAAGAACTTACAATCCTTTGATTTATACAGTGGATAAATTTCATCCCAAACCCAATTCCCATATAAAAGATCACAACTTTCTGCTCCCTTTTCCAAAAAATCCAACTTTTCAATCTTGTTATATGGGACAGACGATCCATTGAGCCCAATCAACGTAGCAAACATCTTGCTGATACAAATGAGGCCCTTTGTTTACTTTTATGTAATCCAACAAAAACAGACACAAGAATAAGCAAACAGTGAAGAAAAAGCAGGCAAGTACACCTGGTGATGGCTCAAAAAGCTTCAAGCGTTTGAATTTCTTGAAAATTTTAAATTGGGTCATTGTGTTGAAGAATCTAGGAGATGGGCTTTGCACAAATCCGGTGGGAGGAGGAGGAGATCGAAAATTTTAATGGGATGGGGGAAGAGAATGAGATGTATCAAAGTAGAGAGAGAAAGAAAATAGTGTAATTGATTAGCGTATTTAGTGGCTTAGGGCTAGGAGGTAACCAAAATTAAATATTTTGCTATAAACCTTAAAAGGTGGTATTTATTTAAAATAAATAAGGTGTTAACCTTTGCTACAGGAGGTAAAAATTCCAAATTTTTATGCCTTTTGGGCCAAACACAATGTGTACACTCTATGTAGGTCCGTTATTTGCTTATGTTTCGACAGAATTATCGAGTAGCTTGATATCGTATTTGTGTTGAATCTTTTGTTTAATATATACAAATAATTCAAAATACAGTAAGCTTCCTTCTTTGAAATTCAGAATTTACAAACTCAAAATCCTAATTCCGCTACTAAATTAAGGAGAACCAAAAACATTCATCACATTCATACAAAAATGTTGTCTGGTGGTAGTCTCCTCTAAACTCTAATAAATGGTTTACGCTACGATTAAACTAGCAAACTATCCAAAGCCAATTTTCATAATAAGGGCCTGTTTGGCCATATATATATATATAATTTTATTTTTATCCGAATTAATGTTTTGTCATGAAATTTCATATTCCACTTGAAGTTGAATTTTCGAGTTTCTTGAAAATTTGGAAAACTTCAAAACGTTGTTTTTCAAAATTTTCACTTCAAATCTCTAACAAAAATTCAAAAACAACTCCAAATTGTATTCGTATCAAAACACAACTCCAATTTTCAAATACCATTTTCACTTAATTTTTTTATGGAATTTCTCAATTCTTGTGTTCAAAAACCCACTTAGATTAGTCCCGAAAGCGTATACATAACATTTATGAGATGTTTAAAAAAATGTACGTATATTTAACCCCCCCGAAAAAAGAAGCTTAGGTCACCAGAACCAAGGGAACATACAAATCATCCTATTTCTTTCATGGCAAAAACAAAAAGTGTAACCAACCATGAAAGAATCCTAGCCTGTCAAAAACTACAATAAAATAACTTACTTTCACATAAGTAATAAAAAAAAATCGATTAATTATTCATTCACTCTCTCAAGAAAGTTTATCAGAAACAACATTTTTACCTGCATATAGTAGGGCTAACGCTACGCCATCACTACCCTCCCTAAACTCCACTTGATATGTTGTTGTTGTTGTTGTCGTTGTCGTCTCTCGAGAAAACGGAGGAGGAAACAAAATGACATAGCTTCATTACTTATTTCATATTTGGCAGCTGAAAATCTCCCATTTCATAGTACTCTTCCCTCTGAGAAGCATGCATTTGATAAGAAGCTGCAGCATTTGGCAACATGGGATGATACTGATGAAAGTAGTTATTAGGTGTCACCATTGGTACAAAATAACATAATGGTTGAGGTTGTTGATCAACATTACTTAACATCATATTATTATCTCGAGCCAAATCCCTGTGACACACCTGCTGATTTTCGATAATATTTCCACTAGTATTTAACATCGCTAGATGTGGCTCATAACCGGTAGCGGTGCAGTGAGGTATTCCAGAACTTTGATGATTATCTCGTCGGATCATCTGATGCTGCCCAAATTGCATAATTTCTGTCTCCGTGAAATTTATCGGTGGCACAAATTGCTGCTGCTGCTGCTGCTCAATAATTTCCAATTGCAAACTGCTTTTTCTAACCAAACTTTGCATTACACATTGAGTATTTGGTTGAGTTATTTGCTTTCCAAGAAAACTCATTGCATGCATGTCGTCTAATGATATTGTCTGTGTTCCTTTCAAGAATTCTAACCTGCGGTTAGAAAAATAATAGAAAAAAATAATTGTAAGATGCCTAAGCGCGAAAAATCACTATCTTTAAATAGATCCCAGCCATATATAGTAATCTTTCAGATTAAAACAAAGTCACTGCATAGTGAAAGTTAATTAATTTCGTTCAAAGGGTGTTGGCTAAAATATAAAACTAAAACATACATTTATATTAAAATCAAGTTTTAAATAAAACTAAAAATACCAGTTCTTTTACAATTAAAAAAGACTTCAAAGTCATTTTAAACATGACCCCTCCCACCCAAAAAAAATAAATAAAAGAATTAACCCAAATAGCCGTCCACCCTACCACTTAAACTAAAAATAGCGGTCAAGGTATAATATATGCATAATCTAAGTATTATATGTGTATAATCTATGTATATGGCTAAAAAAATAAATAGTTTATATGGCTGACTATTTGTGTAAAGATAAGATTGTTTTATATTTTGTACAAATCACTCTTTCTGTCACAATTTATATTATGTATTGTTTATTTCGAGAGTAAACGAGTTTTGTATGTCTTAATTTCTTATATGACTATTAAATATTTTAAATATTATTTATTGTGACTTCTAATACGTTTTATGTGTAGTTTTCAAACATTAATTTTATTTTTAAAAATTCAAAATTTTCATGTCCGATTTATAGTCAAAATTAAGAAGTTTGACTCTTAAAATTCAAACATTGTTGCATAAATTGGGACCGAGGGAGTATTTAACAATACCTTTGCTTCATAAACTCGATTTTTGCCCCCAATAAAGCAGAAAGTTGTTTGAGTTGATCAGAAGATAAATTATCATAGAGTTGATCCCAAGTTGGATATTTAGCCTCAAAATTCTTTTTGCGTAATTTTGAAGACTCGATCTCGACTTTTCTCGTTAAGTCTCTGAAGTAAAAAGATAAATCATGAGTTCTCAATCTTTGATCATCGTCTGATCGGGCTCTGTACGAGTCGATTAAGCTTCGAATTGTGTCTTTATCGGGCCAGATTGTTGGTTCGCTATCTTTTTGACCGTATATAATCATGCATAATTTGACTTGACACAAAGTTGATAATTCATCGGCCTTTTTCTCCAAACCTTTTTTTCTCTTTTGATACGTCGAATTTCGAGATCTTTCGTTTTTAATCAGTTCCATGCCAATTTTTCTTCGGCCCATCTGTGGAAGTCACAGCAATTTCAGGAAAAAATTGTTAGTTTGGATAATAGAAGAGAAAATGGCTAAGTTAAAGTAGCAATGGGGTGTTCATGGTTCCGTTTGAGTCGGTTTTTCCTTAAGAAGAAACCAAATCAAGTAGGTCGGTTTTTCAAATATTGGAACCAAACCAAACCAATTAAGCCGGTTTTTTATCGATTCGGTTTTTGTCGGTTTTTCGGTGTAATAATAAATTTAAATAGCTGCTTTTATAGTCGGTTTGGTTCATTTTTTTCGGTTACTTTTTTATTAAAACCAAACCAAAGTTAATTGGTTTTTAAAATTTAAAATCAAAACCAAACCTAAAAAGTATCGGTTTTTTTGGTCGATTTGGTTTGGTTTTCGGTTTAGTTCGATTTTTCGAATTTTTATGAACACCGCTATAGCATGTTGTATATTCAAAGTAATGTATAGAGTTTTAATAAATTTTCCTAGTACTACATATAATTAAATTGGTCTTATACGAAGGTATAACATTGTTTTCCTTAAAAAAGAAACCTTTGGGCAAGAACAATTAATTACTCCCTCAGGTCCACTTTAATTATTTTTTTAACTATTTACACACATATTAAAAATTTATCTTTTAACATTAATTAACAATGAAATTGACCATACTAACCTTAATTTGTTCCTTGGAAATATAACAACTACTCCTAGGCTCTTTTCTCCAGAGGCAATTTTGAAAAACATAAATTAATTCCTTCCTGATATCTAAAATAAATAAATATTGTGGACCATGAAAAAATAGCAAAAAAAAAAAAAATTAAAGTGAACGAGAGGGAGTCTCATTTACATGCTAGAGGAGGAAAAAAAGCATGTAACTTTAACACATGTTTGTCTCTCGAAATTCAAAGTTTATCACATAAATTAGAACAGATGGAATATCTATGATTAAAAAAAGGGATTATATACATAAACTATTTAACATTTAAGTGCTTGAGTCAGTGGCTATTTAAATTAATTCTTCAAAATTGAAACCATCAATACATCTTGAAGAAATTTCAGTTGATTGTCTTTATGTGACAGAACAATAATAAGAAACTCATAAGTATTTGCAAACATAAAACACATCAAAATAAAGAAACTTTGTACGTAATTGTTCAGAATAATTGTTCGGTAAAGCCAAGAAATTAACAATTACCTCTTTGTAATTAACCTTAAATCTTCAAAATTAAACCCTTTGTTTCTGAAACACCAATGTGGCTGAAAAACGATTAGTAGTCAGCCTAAAAGAAAAGTATGCAAAAGTTTAGTAACTCAAATCTCAAAAAAAAGAAAAATTAATAAGAACACCATTAATTAATACAACTGCTTGAATTAATTAAACCCAATTTCAGGAATAATTGTTAAAGTAATTGGATAAAACAGAGCTAAAAACAGCAAGAAAGAGAGAAATTGAAGAAGGAATACCAAATTAGTCTCTGAGTTAAATCAAAGAAGAAGACTTCAATCTCCTTTTAAGGTATTTTTATACTTACCATTTTTTGTTCTTCGTATGTATTTAGTCTAAATTGTAGTACTAATACGTTTTGAGTAAGAATATTTTTCTTTCCTTTTTGGTTTACTTCGTATATTTTCTTTGTCCTAATTTTGCTTTGTTACCTTTTATTTCATTTTTTAGGTTCTTATATCGATTTTCTTTCCTGTAATAGAAGTTGTACTCAATTTACCTTTTACTCTTTATTTAATTTTCTAGGAACACCGCCCAATTCTAATAGATTTCCACGAAAATACATGGGCTTTTCTTTTAAATATGGTAAAACACAATGTTTATGTCAAATCAACAATAACTTTCGCATACTCCGTTCACATAGGTTCAGTATTTCAAGAGGTATTTGGTGTAGACAGCCTACCTTAATACAAACATTAGTGACTGTTTTCACGGTTCAAACTCGTGACTTATAAATCACACGGAAGCAACTTTCCGTTGTTCCAAGATTTCCCTTCTTTTATCATCTAACTATTGTTAATTAATATATATTTTCACCTCATTTATTATTTAACTGTGATAAAATACATTGATATTTAGTGTAAATACGATGCTCCCAAGTCTTAACCAAGAGTCACACAATGACTTCTTTTTGCTTTGTTTTGTTGGTGACTTCAGAACTAAATATCATGTGTCACGAAATACATGGTTTGCCGACGTGTTTAATAAAATGTTGTAATAAATTTTATATTATCAGGTTACCTTAATAGTTATTACATCAATCATATAATAAATGGAGACTAATTATAAAATAAGATGAGTAATCTGGTGCAATAAATTAAACTGCTTTTGTACCGTAGAAAGAGGTGTTACGTTGCTATTATATTTATGTCAAAATCTTTGTAAGAATATTACCAACCAAAAAAAAAAAACTTTTTGGGATAACTAGTTCGATTTAACTAGTTCATATTTGGGTCAGCCTAATTTAAGTCTGTACATGGTCATTGGACTTCAGCATTGATACGGGTGGAAATGACACTAGGTAGCCACTTTTGAATATGATAGTTTAAAATATTCATAGTTTATAATATATTTACAAATTAGCTAATTCACCCAAACTTCAGGATACGGCGTCCTGATGTTTGAACTTCATAACATTGTGTTGTAAAGTTCGAAAATTATGTCCAGAAATTCGAATCTTATGTCCTTAATTTTAAATTAGCAGTTCAAAAATTCAGGACACTTAGTCTTGAATTTCAAATTAGCAACTTATAAATTTAGGATACTAAGTTTTGAATTTCAAATTAGCAGCTCAAAAATTTAAGATACTTATAGTCCGTTTGGCCAAGCTGCAAAAATCAGCTTATTTTGAGAAATGTTTTTTTTTCAAAAGTACTTTTGGTGAGAAGCAGTTTGTGTTTGATTAATTAGTTTGAAAAGAACTTCTGAGCAGCAATTAGTGTTTGGCCAAGCTTTAAAAAACTGCTTCTGAGTGTATTTTTCTCAAAATAGCTTCTTAAAAAAGTGCTTTTAGAGAAAAACTACTTTTTTCTGCTTCTCCAAAACTGCTTCTGCTTCTCCTCAAAAGCACTTTTTTTCTTTCAAGAAACTTGGCCAATTGCCTCAATTTTTGGCCAAAAGTGCTTTTGGCAAAAAAAAAAAGCACTTTTGGCTAAAAATAAGCTTGGCCAAACAGGCTATTAATCCTATATTATAAATTCTGGATATATTTTAAATAGCAGGGTTAAAAGTGGCTACTAGCAACAGGAAAAAGAAGCAGGACAGTAAGAACATAGAAGGCCGATTTACGCAAATATCTCTTTTTAAGTTATTCTTTAGACTTTGTCCCTACTTTCAAAAGTTGTGCAAATATAACCCTCTAGAAATCACCCCTTGCGGAAAACATTAATGTTTACTCATATATTTTTGCTCATAAAGTATTAGATTGTGGTACAATAAAAAGGTCATTTGCTAAACAACAACTAATACAAAAAGAGAATTGGCGAAACAAGATTGAACTGCATTGCTTCTGCAAAATGAAATGTAATAACTAAGTACAGTACTATTTTTCTGGCATTATATACAACATAAGAAGACATCTTTCAAATTTGTGTTGCAACATTGTATTAAGACAATCAATCTCTAAACTGTCAAAAAGAGCTTTTACTTGCAATTGCAACATCTCAGACAACTTACACAGAATAATTCCCATAGCTCTGCCCCAAAAAAGATGAGTCACTATGGAACTTTCTACTCAAAAATAATTAGCTTACAACATTAAATGAACCATCTTGCAGAAATGCTGGGCAAGACTGCGTACAATAGACCTTCGTGGTCCGGCCCTTCCTCTGACCCCGCGCATAACGGACGCTTAGTGCACTGGACTGCCCTTTTCATTAAATGAACCATCTCCCATAGCAAGCATAGCTCTACTTGATAGAAAAACTACATAAATAGTCATAAGTCCCAACCCTAACAACTTGCTCGGGCGCATATCGTTTCGAGGTAGCACGACTAGTGCCCAAACTAGTGCCAACACTAGAAATCCCATTGTGTAATACAAGCTATCATCTCTTGGAAACATATACGATTGTGGCTTCTTTGACAAAGATCCAAGGAGCATTGAGATGCCTAAACCAATAAGTGTGTTGAACATAGGCCCGGCGTAACATCCTGACATAGCAATCTGCACACCATCTGCACTATTCACTGCTATCGCGACATTTGACATTAAGTCACCCATTGAGTTGCCCCATGCCAATACAGTTAATGCTAGAATCGATGGTTTGATACCAAAGATAACACCAAATGCCACTAGCAACGCCACTAGCTCGTTAGCCACGATGTAAAACCAAATGATACTCATAAAGAATCCTCCGAAAAGCCATGGAAATAAGCATCTACGAGGCGGATGATCAACATTTGTGTAGATAAATGCAATACCTCCAAGTATACCACCAACTATAGCACCAACAACATATGCAGCGCTAGCAGGGTAGTGCAAATCGTCCTGAGTGTTCCAAAGGAACGCTAAAAGCAGGGGCGCCAACGTAGCACTGGAAACAGCATATACTTTTGACCATCTTTCCTCATCGACAATGGGAATTGTTAACCTTCTTGGAAGTGTCAATGGTATTTCTAGCAGTGAAAACAACTTGGAACACGAAAAGGAAGACGACTGATAATTCACATCGTCCTGTTCATTCCAACCCCACAAAGCCATTGGACTTTCTCCGCGATTGTCCTTCACAACTTCATCAGAGAAAATTGCCACATTCGAAAGCCACATCCAATGTGGCATCTGACCCTGTAGATGCACCAATCCATCTATAGATTCCGACTTAATAAGAGGCACACGTAAAGAATCGTGCTCTCCATCTACACTACTAGACAACATACTTGCTGTAACCGGTAACAATGGAGCAACCGAATCCAACTTCAAACTACTACTACTACTACTACTACCACGACGATTCCTCAACATCTCATTTACAGCAACAAAAACAGCATACACCAAATAAATAGAGACAAAGGC